GCATTCATTATTAAAAGTAAACAACTGAATATGTTTTCTTTCATTAAAATGTTTATTTGTCCATACTTTATACTGCTCTGTACATATTAGTGTTTGGTTTTGGTTGTGCTTTTCTCTGTAACTTTCATGAGCTCACGAGTAATGTTAGTCTAATGAAGGATACCTATGTGAGTTTTCTGAAATAAAAATCTTCCCTATTTATCTCAAACAAGGCCAAATATTCACTTTACATTAGTCAACCAACTGTACTACGATTCCCCTGAGCTGCATGGAATGGAAAGACATTTCTCTAAAGCACACAGGAGACAGCTAACTTTTTCTTTGTTTCCTGTGCCCTAATTATTCCATTATATTTTGACGTCCTTTCTCCTGAAATGACACTGACTTTAAAAAATCACATATTTCATGCATGCTTTGATGAGAGTACTGACTAAGAATATTAAATATTGAACCTTTCTTTCATTATGGGTCAGTTTCTGAATTCACTTTTGGTGCAGTTTTGAGTCACTAGACTATATTGTTAAGACACAACAGTGTATAGAAGTTACAGCTTGCAATAAGAAAACACTGGCCTTTAAAAAATTTTGTAAGCATGGATGACTGTAAATGATCATTTTGTTCTTTACTTTCTATATTTTTTTACAGCTACCTCATGTTTATTTAAAAATACTCAAAATACTGTCAGGCAATATGATTTCAGGCAATATGAAGAGTCTAGACATTACATAAAAAGGATGTCTAGGATTTCTGAAGTTTAATTACATTTCCTTCTTTGGAAAATAAACAAAGTCTTGATAAAACTATATAATGCTAAAAGAAGAAATAAATTAAGAAGCAGCAACACCTTTCATATATATTAGGCAAGCCCATTGATTAAAATATTGCAGACTGACAGCTGTCCAAGGATCCAGCCAAAAACACTGGGAAAAAAAAGCAGTGCTAACAAATAAGAAGGGAAGAGATTCAATTTGGTTTGAAACTACACAACAGTACCTCCCCAAAAGAGGAATGCTGTTCAATAGCCATATCAAGTACAGTGTCTTGTCCTCAGTTATGCAGAGAAATGGCTAAATACATTTTTACCTGTAATTTGGAGAAAAAAAAAGCCCAAAACACAATAACCTTGGATATCAATATTATCAAAACTGTCAACAGCGTGAAGAAACCAGTGGCTGAGTCTTGCAAAAGAAAGGACTAAGCTAACACAAATACACATATTCAAAGTTTTCCAAAAGAAAACTCTTAATTTTTTTATGCCAACTTGGCATTTATCAATTGGACAAAATCCTCACAAATGCTATATCTCAAGATCCTTTACAATATTACATGTAATAGGTTATACGCCTAGTGAGTCATGTTTATTGGTAGCAAACTGATGAATATATTTCCTTTTTTCCTTCGCATCAACAGAAAAATTTAATTGAAAATATCACAGATTTATTCATACACTATTCCAAACACCAGCCTTGCGCTGTTGTTTCTTACAGTTGGTACCTGAAGTGCTACACAACTGGGTCAGAACATCACCAAATCCAAGTAGCCTACCTCTGCAAAAACATCACAGAACAGGCAGGCAGGAAGCCTGGCCTGCTCTTTTTTTTTGGTATCATCCCACTTGGACAGCAGCAACACAGTGGTTACCCAAAAGAAGGTAATTTTCAGCTCCTAACAGAAATTAGCACAGGGCCTGACTGGAGCCAGAGCCGTTGTCATCCTCCCAGTGATGAGCAGAGAGGCAAAACAGCACATTTACAGAATTAGTGCAGTCTGTTTTACACCCTCTGATGTTGCCTCACTGAATCACATTTCTGTCTTCCTCTTCACCCCCTCTCCCATCTCCCCAGCTTCTCCCCCTTAGCCCACCCTCAGCATCCCTGTTCCAACATTGGGATCTCTTTACCAAGACCATGAACCCATCCACAGCAACTGGGAACCCCAGAGGCTGGGATAATCCCAGCCCATTTCACACCCTGTGACAACGGATGCTGCTCACATCCAAGGGTCTGAGGATATTTTTTTTCCTGTCCAAAGTCATGGCTAATGACTGGCCAAAACAAATCTTGTACCCTTAAATTATGAAACCTCAGCAGGGCTCTAGATCTAACCCCCAGTACAGTTGTTCTTTGTAGTTGTTCTCTGTCCCTCTGCTGTATCCCTGGAGGCTGCTGTTTCAGCAAGAGATGCAAAGTGCAGTTGATTTCTCAGAGGTGTTGGTTCCAGCAAGACTTCCCTCCAATTTCCTGCTACAGGACTGTAAGTTAGAAAGGGCTTTCCCTCAGGACTTTTATAGATAAGAAACAGCATCAGGGTAAAAATAATGCAAATGATTTGAGGTACAGAATGCCTTCCAGGAAGGTGATTCACCTTTCAGGGTGATGAGCTGGTGTATGATGCTGTAAGTATCATACTTATGATGGTGTATGAGCTGTATGATGCTGTAAGTACATTCCAGCTTTAGCCTCATCCTGCTTTTCCCCTTTGTAAAAGAATTCCTCAGCAGCAGCTATCGGTATAATCAATGTCACCACAGCCACCACCTGGCTCCACCCTTTCTCAGATTTCATCTCAAATGCCACTTGGAAGCTTATGAAAATTGCTCTGGGATGCAAGAGAAATGCACCTCTAAGTAAGTGTTCATTTACTGCTGCCTGCAGAAAACAGGAGAGACTGTGACATGAAGTATACAGAAATTAACCCACAGTGTGCAAACAGCTGTGAAGGACCACGGCTGGCCCTGAGCTCTCCATGAAGCCACAGTTCATCACTTACCTTGTGACACTGACATATCTGGGCTCGGTGGACCTCTCCAATTCCTCTCTGTCTCCCAGCCAGAGGTACTCACAGTGCAGGCTGGGAGCACTGACATTCCTGTTTCTCAAGGTAAGCCACTGCAAACTGCTCCCAGGAGGATGCCTATTCATTACTGGCCCTATGCCATAAAGACTGACCTAATGAAGCAATACAGAGCAGCTGAAGTTGGCAGTGCCTGTGGCCTGGACAATTACAGGTGCATTTATTGGCAAAATATTTGTGCCCCAAAGGCTACCACATACAGGTCCCCTGTCTTGATAACCTATTCATTACTGGCCCTGTGCCATGAAAGACTGACCTAATGAGGTCAGAGCAGCTGAAGTTGGCAGTGCCTGTGGCCTGGACAATTACAGGTGCATTTATTGGCAAAATATTTGTGCCCCAAAGGCTACCACATACAGGTCCCCTGTCTTGATAATTCTGTAATGTGAAGATTTATTTTTTTCCCTTTCAAAACCACCTGTAAGTTTTGCATTTGGATCCTTTAAGGACAGTACACAGCTTTACTTCAAATAAATAAATCAGTAAACACCTTAATTGAAGCTTTCTTTTAATTACTAAGTTATAACTAATGCCTTCCAATGTTTAAAGTATGTCCAGAATATTATGCACACCAAATAGAAAATATTGTGTATGCCAAGGTATCTCACTTTTACTCCTCTGATTCTTTCCCTGATCCTGCTGTGAGTGAGGAGCTGAGTGGGGCTAGAATGCCTCAAGTCTGGTAGGCCAAGAAGAGCACTTCATTTGTTATGTCATGAGGAAAATACTGAGATGAGGAAAATGCTAAATATTATCCATGGTTCACTCAGTGCAATCAGTGCTGACCTCTTTCCTAAAATTAAGCACTTGCACAACTTCAGCAGATTTTGAAAATAAGGGGGAAACAGACTCCACCTCTTCATACTCAGGGGAATGTTCAAGGGATATGAGATAAAAGGATAACTCCTTCTCCTTCAGGTACATTATAAAAGCAAGAGAGGGCTCACACTGGATTTTTGTGCTATTGACATAAGTATTTTTCTCAGAAAGACAGACACATCAGAACTACACAGATACAGAAAAGACCAATTACATAAAGCATCAGGTCAGACTAATTAGACAGACTTCCAGTGTTTTGATGTCAAGCAGGGAAGAAGCATGAGCTAGGTGCTCACCCAGTCAAGATCTGCATGGAGGAGTTGCTTTAAAATGATGCAGGCACATAAAAAAAAAAAAAAAGTACCTATGGAGTTAAAATTATGCCAGGCATAACTCAGAAGAGCTTTCCAAAATAGAAATTTTGTACTTAAATGCCTTACTTGACCTAAATCTGACTTCAGGCTTCTACATAAAGCAATTCCATGAAGTCACTATAGCTGCACCAGGGAGAAATTCAGCCATAAGTGACATAATTTTTGTCATGTAATTTGCACCTTTTCTAGAGACCATTCTAAATCTGTGTATCATCATGACACTATAGATTGATCCTTTGAGCAGAAGGTCAATATTTAAGGAATTTGATTCATAATAACCTAATATTAATCAATTAGATTACATATATATATATATATATTACTAAATATATATATATTTATATATATATACTCCCCTCTGAGCAGTTGCTGTTTTCAAGAGTCAAGTCTATTTAAGTAGTAGATTCTGTGCAAGGGTTAACCTCTGCAGATTTGTCTTTAAAGATATTCATAGCAAAGAAGTTAATTCCCAAGGAAAACAATTTAAATTCTTAAAGCAGGCTATACCTTTCCAAATCCTGGTAGAAACAGGCAGCCAACTTGCACATATAAGTAAACTTCAAATTCTCCTGTAAATGGCAGCCAAAATTCAATATATTTTTTCTGAGGCTGGTTGATGTAGGAAGATTTCCATGAGATGTTTTCTCCTCTATCATCAATTTAATGATGTAAACAGAGATAGATTAAACCTGCACACCTTTCAGGTTGATATACCTGACAGCGAAAAAAAACCCTCACAGCTGGAATTCTTCCTGGAAACTAAAATAGATGACAAAGTAAAAGAGCTATCTTCTATAGACACTTAATGAAGACAGGCTTCAAGGGGTTTTCTATACCAGAGAGTACTTTACACCCCAGGAGGAGACAAAGCCAGTAGATTTCTGCAGCTGAGGATTGCAGTCACAGCAGAATAAGTAAAATAACAAAGAACATATTACTTGTTAAATCACTTACACTGGTTTTCCTTTGGATTCACAAGTCAAAATTATAGATTGTCCTTCTTCAGGCCATGAATTGGAAGAAATGATTTTAACTAAAGGTGTATCTAGGAAGAAAAAAATAGACAACTTGTTGATATACACAAAAAAGATTTATTATCTAAGAGTACATTCTTCTCTATTTACAACAGACTAAACCACAGATTTAATTTACACTTGGAGACAGTTTCATATGGAGCCTTCTGCAGTTTCCATTGTCTTCAGGAAGGCAATAAAAATGACCAATGTAACTAAACCAGTAACTTTTTATATCCCTAGGAGACACAGATAGAAAGCATATGTATACTGAGAGAAAACAATTTTTTATTTCTGTATTTGATGCAAATACTCCATATGACTATCCAAAAGTCTGATATCTAACAACAAAATAAAGGAAAAAAACAACATCTAGGATGAATAACAAGTACTCCATGCAATTGTTTGCCTATTTTTAGGCTGATATGATGGAATGCTGCTATTAGAGGAATGAATGCAATAGTGTACATTTGAATAAGAACCCTTTTGTTGTTGCAGAAGTTTGAAACTCATAATAAGAAAGCGACAATGGGCTTTCAGATAAAATACCTTGTTACAGACATTTTACAGGATATTATTTCTGAAATGCAATAAAGCTGCCCCTAAACCATAACAATCTTAAACAGAATTTGCAAAGAGAATGTTTCAAATATCTCCAAAAAGCACTACAGAAGAATCTGCAATCTGTCTAATGTGATTGGATTAGTTTTATAGTTTTAATTGCAAAAAGATACACAATAGAGCTACTGTGAATTCATGCCAAATAGAGCATTTGAAGTAGATCTTTAACTTTTAAAAAAATTGCCACCTGGCTTGCAAGAATATATTTTCATAGTCAATATATGACTTAGAGGGGCACCTTTATAAAAAAATAAAAAAAAAGACGATAAAGAAAAGAATGTAACACATTTTTTCCTTAGGAAGAGGAAAAATAAAGTTCATTGTCACAGTGTAAAAAAATCAGATTGAGTGGAAAAAATGTCTATTTTTCCTCACAGTTTCTTTCTCTATTCTTCCTAATACAGACCACTTTATCCTGCAAATCTAGGATACCTAAGTTTTGTCTCACTAAATTTGCAGTTGCTGTTATCCTTTACAGTGACACCACTGATGTCCTGTTATTAAGCAAATGTGAAAGAGCATGACAATATGACCCCACAAAATCAAACAGAAAAAAAAAAAAATTAAAAACACATGCTGTAACAATATATCCTCTTATTTCTGCTGAACCCTAAATGGCATCTGAACAATTAAAATTACGGAAAATCTTTCTAACTTTTGATTTTTTTATTTTTACACAGCACAGGACAGGAAGAGGGAAGGGCTTAGTGCAGACTCTGTAATTCCACTGAAAGTATTTTCAGCATCACTCATCTTTCCAGAATAGCTGCTCTAACCTTACACCAGTAGCAAATCTGTTCCACAAGTTCATATTTTTAAGGACCCTGGAAACCATTATTCAGGTGACTAATCCTTTGGAGGCCAGGCTGGCATTTGCTTCATTTTTAGCACATGCTTAAGGCACTGACCTCAAGTGCCTTAATAAATCAGGGCATCAAGTACTTCTGTGATTTCAGTGGTGCTGTTGAAGATGAATAAATTACTCTCTTGACTATACATTGAACCAGAGGAGCAAATTAGTATCAGATAGGAATACATGAAGAATTTAACTGAGGGAGGGAGACAACTAATGCAGTGAGATCAAGAGGTTTCCAGAGAAATATGAGAGAGAGGAAAACTTTGATGGAAGTAATCCTGACAGCCACAGGTGAAGGAAGAAATTAAAGGGCCATCTAGCTATTATTCCTGACTTAAATATTTAAAAAAATATCAGTATTTTATGCAATACTGTAAATGACCCAAATAAAATTGAAGAGAGGATTCCAGACAATTAAGCTTTCATTTGCATGGATCAATGCAGTGCTGCTTGCCCATACTTGAAGTTTCCATTCCTACTTTAATCCACCAGGCAGCTCTCTGTTCTCCATGCACTTTTAAACAGAGCTTACTAACACAGAAAGGTCTTATATTTATGTTTCACCCTCTAAGGCACAACAAAATGGTGTAGGAAATACATTCCCTAGTGGTTTTCCCTGCTAATTGACTTAAACAGTAACTACCTGTTTCTCTAAAGCAGGAAACACAGGTTTTAATTCAATATATAATTTTTAGGGAAGACAACAATGGAAAATATTTGCATTTTTTAATGATTCCTTTTAAAAACTAGATATTATATTTTGACTGCTTTATTCTAAGTATTACTGTTTCTATTTTTTTTTTTAGGCCATGCTTGATTTCTCTCCAGAATTAAAGTGTACATTTAAAAAGGGAAAACATTTAAGATAAACCTGCCGTCTATTTCCACATTCACATCAATAATTTAAATGAGAAGAAATCTTCAGAATAGTTGAATCAAAACTAACCTAAATATCTTATTTTTACAAAGATGATAGAACCCTGCTGACTGGTACTTTTCCAGAACACAAAATGCTATTACAAAACACTACCTCCCACTGTGACAGATCATTTTAGAAGAACTTAAAAAGTATAAATATACTCTATCAATACTGTGAGTTTTGACCTGTCACACTTATAATATTAATCATAACAACTGGAACATCACATGATCTCCAGCAAACATCAACACTGGAAAACAGCCTAAAGAAAGAAAATCAAGAACTGTAATACAAAATGAGGTTGATTTCTTTTCAGATATGTTTATCACCTTGTTATAAAAAATGTAGATATGTCAAAAAAAATCTCCTTCTATAACCAGAACAAAGGAGTAGAGTAAAGAATAATGTGGGTAAGATCTTTTCCTCCTCCTCTAAACCAAGTAGAAAAATAGCAATGTGTACCAGATGAACTTACCTGAACTTTAATAACTTGCATATTTTTTTTGTATTTAGCCCAGAAATTTCATGAAAATAAAATACCATGGGTCAGTATTCAAAGCAAAATTCTTCTTAACAAGGGAGTGGTGACTACCGTTTCTTTACAATATCTACAAATATCTCCTTATCCTGAGTTCTAGGAATATTATGGAGGAGATAAGTATTCCAAAGAGAATAAGCTTTGGGAAAGTCCAATTCTATAAAAAAACCAGTGGTTTATGTGGGTGTAAGCACCACAGCAAGTTTTCTCAGTAAAACACACTGCTTTCAGTACCCAGTGGCTTTTTTAGTTACATCCATCTCCAGCAGAGAGAGCTTCTTTGGCCATCCAGTCTTTAGTTTGAGTAATGAGGTACTTATGAGCTAAAACTGATTGCTATCACCAACCTGAACTGAGGTTCAAACATGTCTTAACATATCTTCTACCCTCCATGAGCACAGAATCTGCTCATTTTTTCTGGACATACCAGCTACAGGTAAGAATTATGGTATGGGGTTTTTATTTTCTTTTTTTTGTATAACCTTTCGTGATTCAGCAGACCAAAGGCAAAAGTTCCATTGAGTGATTCTGCTTCATCCATCTTTCTAGGATTTGGGCTCATCTCATCTTACAAGCCTAGGAAACCCATTCCAAATCTTTGAGAAGATTGATCTATTTTTGATCAGGCTATGTCATCTTCAGCAACGCACGAAATCAGTAAACGTGTGGAAAATTGGTACCAGCTTATACCAGTAAAAAATCTGATCTGATACATGAAGAAATAAACACTTCAACACTTGACTTTTTTTTTTACTTTTAGCAGCAACTAATGGCAACATTCATACCTTGTGGAACTGTGCAACTGACTGATTTAATCTCTTTGAAGCTATTTCCAAAATAAAGGTGGTTCTCATCAGTCACTAGACCTTTGCTCTTAATCAGATCTTCTATGCTTAAAGGTGTGTGTGTTTGCTTTCAGAATGTACTTGCTGTTTTTACATTGCTTGAAGTAAAACAGACTTCAGTGTATATTTATATTATTTTATCACCAAGCCTTTATAAGGTTACATGCAGGATTAAATTCCTTCACATAAATTTACTCATATAAAGTAATCACATGAAAGCTGTTGGAAAAAATCCCTCATGATAAGTTATGTTATCCTTCATGTGCAAACCCTCAGCAAACCCAGTGTAAATACAGAAAACTGAATTCATAAAAGTAAACAAATTTGCTAAGATCATGAAACAGGCTAACAACAGGATCAGACAATTAATCTCTCTATTTTCTTCTTAGTGCCAAGATAGTAGAAGTGTTATTTGGCCTATTTTTCACACATATCTTCAGAAGTCTTTGGTCCCATCAGTTCTCAGCAAAACCTTTCATGTAACTCACAGCTCTGACTGGGTCATAAATCAAAGTATAACCCTTTGCATCCTAGGGCATTAATCAGCAACAGGTGTGTAGGAATACGCACATGAAAAATCATTTTGTGAGACAAAGGGGTAGTATTATTATGAGGTTATGACAGAAACATGCTGTTTTATCAAATAATCCCTCTCTAATGCAATCATCTTCAGTCAATGTAATTACAATCCCATAAACAGAAAATAAGACCACCTTTCTTTTTGGGCAGATGTTAAGGTGGGTGGAGCACATATATTTCATTGGTACTTTTAAGAAACAATAATTGGAAGCAGTAGACTATTCAGGAGTAGGAATATTCATGATCTTGTAGTCATCAGAATTCCAAGAGTGCTGAAAATGCACCTATGCAAACAGCCATGCAGCAGTCTTTCTTCCAGGTAATATTGATATATGTATTACTTTAGCTGTATTATAAACTTCTTGCCATTAGATTTCTCTTCATATTTTGTTAAAAGGTAAATCTCAGCCTCCACTGGCATTCCAGTGAAATGAGGATTAACAGAAAAAGTCTTAGTGTTCTCCTCTGCAGAAGAAATTTACATAGGAATATTGCATCAGATGTACACATCCAAGTCAGGGCTCCTAATTTGCAAATTTTCTGCTGAATTATAGACTTTTTTAAAAAAAAAAAAAAGAAGTAAGTGCAATAACATACTATGACGTTTAAACTTAGCACCCCAAACATCTTCCAACATGGCTGAATCTTCAGAAAGCAGACCAGAACAAGTTCAC